TATATATATACGAATTTTATCCGGAAAGTAAAGATACAAAGTCCAGAAAATATTTGTAAAGCATTCTCTTCTTTTTATTCACTTGTAGCAATTTTACAGCGCAGCTTTATTTTTTTTCAACGTAGTCGTCAAGGATCGAAATGCACTTAGTGAGCCTGGGAACGAGTTTTTTTTTATTCCAGCGTCGTAGAAATATCCTGCCTGCTCTCTTAGCCATGGAGAACAATTCTTGACATTTCTGGACATTGTTGAATTTCATCGATGGTCTGTCAGCACGAATGTTTTCATCAATTTTTTGGATGATTTCATCAGTGAAAACGGATGGCCTATCAATCCTTATTTCATCATGAACATCACCTCTTCCGGCTTCAAATTCACAATACCATTTTGCCACGTTCTGCCTGTTCGTAACATCTTCGCCGTAAACAGAAACAAGTTGGCAATGAATTTCATCAGCAGTTTCTTCTTTCACGTAATGAAATCGAATTACTGCAAGAACCTCACATTTGGAGGAATTTCGAATCTACACGGCCATTTTAAACACAAACTGCGAGCAAAACACTGCCGTGACTGTGACCGATGAACTCTGCCCTGTCATATGGTTCCTATCTCACACGGCACCACTTCCATTTCCAGAAAAAAAAATCCCTTGCATTTTTACTGAAATTGTATCTGTTTTTTAATTTGCATAGTGGGGGGGTGGAGTCCAGCTGGGTCCACTCGGCACGTCGGCCGTTGATTGGCCTATTGTACCTGCCCTGGGTGATTAAGATGACGGAGAATTTGGTGCAATGAAGATTGGCAGGGAAAACCGAGGTAACCGGAGAAAACCCGCTCCAGCGCCACATTGTCCACCACAAATCCTACGTGACCAGACCCTCGTTCGAACCCGGGCCGCCGCGGTGGAAAGCCAGCGACTAACCGCTTGAGCCATGGCGAGGCATAGACTTGTATCTTTACTTTCAGGATATATCTTGTATTAAGATCCTGATATCTACTGAAGAGACTTCTGAAAGAAAAACAGACCTTTAAGCTAACAGTTCCCGTTTATACGTGTAACATTTTCAACAAATTTAAAAATTTCATGCCCCAGGGTAACAGCGTTATTGTGTTCGAGATATCAACAGAGAAGTTAATTGTTTATGCATGGGATCGCGTTCTAAAATAAAGCCCGATAGGTATTTTCATACGCATAGGCCCCTTGTGTTATGCCTCCCTGCCGCACACCAGGTTGTGAGGCGGCATGCGCTTCCGTTCCTTTTCTTTCTTCAGAACAATTCAACCATCTGCTATATTCGCAGTCTGCTAGAAGAAAGAATATGAAACAAATATGTCTGCGCTTTATTTGAGAACAGGGCGGCGAGAAGAACATTGGAAACAAAGGAGGGGATGGAACAGAGGAGCGGAAAAAACAGCAAATTTAGGAGCTTCATAATTTTTATGCTTCATCAAGTATAATAATACATGACTATGATGAAATTAGGCCGCGCCATAGCTCAAGCGGTTAGTCGCTGGCTTCCCACCGCGACGGCCCCGGGTCGATCCCAGGTCTGGTCAAGCGTGATTTGTGGTGGACAAACTGGCGCTGAGGCAGGGTTTCTCCGAGTACTTCGGTTTCCCCTGCCAATCTTCATTCCACCAACTGCTCCACAATCACCCTCACCTATCATCTGGGGCTCGTACAATAGGCCAGAAGTGGCCGCAGTACAAGGGACTTAGTCCCACCCCACTAGCAATAAAAATATTATGAAATTAAGAAGGATGGGACGGACGGGTATGAAGCATGCATGTGACTGACGAGGAATGCATGAGGTATCCCTGTGCTAATTTAAGTACTAGATGTATGGGGGTGTGGAGGTATAGCTCCATCATTTTTTACCTAGGCACAAGGTGGGAGTGAATAGTCTGCTTCACAAACTGCCGCTTTCCTCGTGAGGAAATAGTTCCTGGTATCCACTAGATTGGAGTCTGGGTGGGTCAAAGAACCTCTTGTCATTGCCGAAGGAAAATTTAACTAAAAAAATACTGAACACAACTGTGGGCTTATTCAGCAGGTGTCCCTCATCAACGCACAACACTGCTTGCAGTGCACAGTAGGGACAGGGACTGAAGAGGAATGCATACAGCAATTCTTCCCAAAACCTCAATATATGAGTCCATTCAGTATACAGAAGAGAGAAACTCGCTCTCAATATCCAATTCTTGACGAAATTCATAATTCCGAGTCCTTATCAAAATTTTATATAAAATTAATTGATTCTAAAATCGGCAAAGATAACGCTATCTCTATTCTTATATAATTTAGAATCATTCTATGAAGACGTCTGTGGAGTGGAACTACAGCGCCACCATTATGGACCTCGGCACTAGACAGAGGTTTGTTCAGCTTCACGCCCCTGCCGATTTACCATCTGGGAAAGAGTCACTGGTAATTATTTGGCAGGAGGCTGTGTACACCCAAGAGCCGGTTTGGACGGCGTAGACAAGAAAAAATCTTACCTATGCCGGGATTCGAACCCCGCCCATCCAGCTCGTAGCTTGCTACACCGACTGAGGCACCCCAGGTCCTTCGAGAACCTGGACAAAGCAGGAATTCTCAAAACACATTACCCAGTAAAGTAAGTAAGTAAAAAGTAAGGGTATCCCTGTAACAGGCCGTGGAGGCCCATTGGGTTGTGAGATGTTGAAGTTCCCACATTTTCTAAACAATTGGCTCATAGACGGCGGCAAGGTTTACCCCCAAGAATTTTGCTGGTACTCATTTGTGTTAGAAGGATTAGGTCAATTGAAAACAATAAAATGACCACATCGGGACTTGAATCCGCGACTTTCGGGCATGCAGCATAGTGCCCCAATCAACTACGCTACCGCGTGCCCCCCGGTCATCCATCCAAGTACTAACCACGCCCAATGTTGCTTAACTTCGGTGATCGGACGAGAACCGGTGTTTTCAACATGGTATGGCAGTTGATCCTGGTACCTCACAAAATCAACTGGCGCTGCTATTTCTCCATTATATATGTATTCATGGCCGCCATATTTCTTATGATGATAGAAAATTAGGAAGTACAGGATACAGTTTTAGATCACAATAAAATTCATTCGACTAAAAGAATTTTGGGGTTCGGCCTCTCTTCCTGGTTTACGCTGCAAGGATCTGGTTTTATACCGAGCAAGCTGGTCGAGCAGTAATGCTCTGAGACTTTTATTCTGGAGACATATGTTTCCTATTTGTGCCGAATTATCGTCTACTGTGAAACAATTCTGTGTCTAGTAACAGTGAGTACAAAAAGGTCCATGTTATTTGCTACGTACTAGAAGCAGTGTTGTGTTGAACAGAATATAACAAATATTATCTGTAATGTTACTTGCTGTTCACCTCGCCAAGCGGGTTAATTTAGGCTATAATTTCAATTGAAGCCAAATGTTAATAAAATTGTTTCCTATAAAATAAAATGAACAAATATGAACAGCGATACGTATTGTGTTTATCCACGAATCAAATGGGCCGATTCTCTCCCCGGAATATTGGCTATCATTTCCCACAGAATTTACTTCTCACAATAAGGGGGAACCCGATTCGACTGTTCTAGAAAAGCACTGAATTAGTACATATACAGAAAATGACTAAATAATAACAGAAGACGTGTAACTTAATTAACTTGCTTCTAAAACCACGGTTCAAAATTACTTTTTATACTTTCCCTATTAGTCCCTCTGGCCAATTTTCCATCAGAATTAATCTGAAAGTATGGTTATACATAGTCGGCAGGACTTCTTGGACGGGGATCAGCCCGTCGCTGATTTTCTGAGTACCTGGTCTGGAACGGAGCCCACTCAGCCTCGTAACTGAGGAGCTATTTCAAGGAAATGGTGACTCCGGTCTAGAAAAGCCGAGATTAACGGCCATGGAGATTCGTCGCACTGACCACGTGACACCTTTTATCCGCTAAAGTTGGAACCAACTTCGCCGACAAGCAGCGGTCGCTCGTTCGGTATAGTTCGCTTGCGGACTAAAACTACGGAGTTCTTTTTCTGAATATTACAAATTGATTTGCCTTGTCTTCTGTTAGAGCTTACGTGTTTGTTTTGGTAATTTCTTTGGTTCGTGTTTATATTTTATGTGTCCCACGGGCTACTGAGTAAGTACGCAAATTAACAAAGAACTGAACTGAACTATTGAATCTCTTTTAAGTTAAGCGTTAGCAAAACTTAATATACATTTCATTTAATTAAAATATCGAATATTCCGTGCAAGCGCAATTAGATTCTATTTAATTACAAGAGAAGTCAAAAAAACATTAGCCAGTATGGGTATCTATTACATTAATTTTAATAATATAGTGCCTAATAAAGTCATTTTCTCAGTTTTTAAATATGAACTATAAAAATATTATGTTAATGTACACGTCTTGTAAATATTACACAGAAATATGTACGCGTCTAAACGTCACAGACATTTACAACGAACCGAACAGATGTGATCACAGCCTATATTAGATTTCCTATATTCCCCTCAATTATCACTCCCTTAGCTAACTGAAAAGCACGAATCTTCACCATGGCCAATATCCATATTAATGGCCGGAACATTTGCAACAAAACATGACAAGTTTTACACGACAAACAGCAGCCAGCATCCTAAATATAGACAAGAACGCATTTTCGCTTAATGTAACGTCACGTTTAAATGATATGACAGAATACAGTAAACGCTATATTTATATACTTTCTTCTTACTCACCCGATATTTGTGTCGATATGAGTGAATAACTTTTTTCGTGACGACGTCCCAAAAATCCAGTGGTTTCTTTCCCGCGCGCCCGAAGTTCGACCGTATTGTTGCCACACGGTCGAGCGAAAACTCTCGTGTCTAGGGAGAAGAGACAAGAGTATTACATCAAGGGACCGCTAGCTGTAACGGCAAGCAGCCGACTGAAGTACTTGGTCAACTTGCCTACCGTCAAACGGGCCGCATCAGCTGAATGCGCCGACTCCGTGTACCTCCCCCTGAATGAACAAAACTTGCAAAACAGGGAACTTCTTCTTGCCTATGGCATTTGATATGGAACTCGTGAATATCGCTTTTCTTGTGGTATATTTAACACCGCTGCCAGTATCCAGACTACATAGCTTCGGATGATCAGTCACTCACTCATGGAGCTGAGCCCTTCTCAAGAAGCCACCAATTGTGCAGCTACCAAGAACTTCTCAGCATTATATGGAACCCGAAGGTTCAATACCGTTTTCACAAGAACCCTCCATTGGTCCCTATCCTCAGCCACATCAATCCAATCCATATCATCCCATCCTATCTCTATAAGATTCATATTAATGTCGTTCAACCACTTACTTCTTCATCTTCCCAGTGGTCTCCTTCCTTCTGGTTTTACCACCAATCCTATATGCATTCCTCCTCTTCCCCATTCGTGCTACATGCCGTGCCCATCTCATTCTCCCTGACTTGATCATTTTAATTACATCTGGAAAAGGGTACAAGTTGTGAAGCTCCTCAATATGCAGTTTTCACCAACCTCCTGTCACTTCATCCCTCTTCGGTGCAAATATTCTCCTCAACACCTTGTTCTCAAACACCCTCAGTCTATATCCCTCCCTTAATGTCAGAGACCAAGTTTCACACCCATACAGAACCATACGCAAAATTATAGTTTTGCATATTCGAATTTTTATAATTTTAGACAGCAAACAAGAAGACAAAAGCTTCCGATAATAGGATGATTTATGTTCTGCGAATTATGTAACGACGCTATAATTGCCTAGAATGCAGTGCCGGATGGGAGGAGGACTGATGAATTAGAAAGGATTTGGAAAGAAGTGGCAGTAGCATAATTGACGTATCATTCCGGAAATATCCAGGAGGGATTGAGGATAACCATGAAAATGATCAGGATAACATTCTAGCCGAGATTCGAACCGAGCAAACTCCAAAATAGAGATAATACATGAATGATGAATTTTAAATGATTTGTATGGAAGCAGCTGCAGACTAATCGAAGCACTATCGTCATTTGAATGAAGTGAGTGAGGAAGTAAAAGGTAAATTTGTCCCTGTGCTTAAGCAATTAAGCACTACACAATGAACATGTATGTGGGAGTTGGAGATGAGCGGTCGGATTCACACACCGGCCGCGCCACCGCTGGGGAAAGAGTCACCGGTACCCAATGGATAGGAGGCCGAATGGGCCCCACTCCGACCCCTTCGTAGTCCAGCCCGTAGCCAGTCGCTATACCGACTGTGCTACCCCGGCTCTCAATAAAATTTATAGAGAAGTACAAATTCCGAAGTCCCTCGTTATGCATTATTCAAAAGATGAACAAGTTCTAGGAGGAATTAATCGCCTACTTTCCTTTGATACGACACGGATCCCATAGAAAACGAAAGATATTAGGGCACACACAAACACACAGACAGCTAGGAGATCTCATAAACGTAAGCCCGTGACAGAATATGAAACACTCTGAGTACAGTTTGTCTGCAAGCTAGGATCTCCAACTTACACTGCCACAGTACAACCCTTCTTTACAAAACACAGCAATTCCATATATCCGCAATCTTATCCATCCCGAAGAAAATTAATGCCATCGGGTCTAATCTCTGGCTGGTGAGCATTTATCCTTAGTTCGGCCGGTCTAACGAAAAATTGCCGGTCACCGTCGCTAGGAAGCCGGGGACCGTGGGTTAGAATCCCACTCAGGTCATGGATGTTGATTGTTTTTGTGTGTTTTTTCTATGGTTGTGTACTAGTAGAGGCCTTGCGATGAGCTGATCACCCGTCCACCAAATGTCTAGGATCTAGTAAACCGAAGTGAAACGGAGAGTTTCTTGAAGGTAAGCCAAAGCAAAATTGGTGCTGTAGAGCCAAAGGGGAGAAAACCCAACAAATTAGTCCTCTGACAGCAGATTCCGATGTTTCAGCACTGCTTGCTAAAGCTTGCCAATGGAAACCAAGTTAAACCAGTTCTATGCACTGCCCATTATGACGAGCTAATCACTGAGGTTCGGCAAACCGCGCAATAATTTACAAGGGAAACACAATAAATTGCTTCTCCACTGACACGTGTTCAACTTACAGTTACTGCATGGACTGTCCTGGGATCAAATTTGATTCTCCGCAGTAAGAAGCCCGCTTCTAACCCCGTGAGCAGCCCGCACCATAGCTCAAGCGGTTAGTCGCTGGCTTCCCACCGCGGCAGCCCGGGTTCGATCCCGGGTCTGGTCAAGTGGGATTTGTGGTGGACAAAGTGGCGCTGGGGCAGGTTTTCTCCGAGTACTTCGGTTTCCCTGCCAATCTTCATTCCACCAATTGCTCCACAATCACCCTCACCTATCATCTGGGGCTGGTACAATAGGCCAAAAGTGGCCGCAGTACAAGGGACTTAGTCCCACCCCACTAGCAATAAAAAAAAACCGTGAGCAACGACACCGCTTCGAAAGGGGAGCCACCCTGCAGTTCAGTTGGCTTCGTACTGCTTGCCGATTAGAGCAGCAGGAATGCTTTATGGTTTGCCAGTGCTACAAACGTCTTCATATTCTGATCGCTTGATATGTTGAATCTTGATCTTTCAATTGAGTGGTTTTACCTTTTCATCCTATTCTTCCCAGTGAGTAGAAGATTCTAGATATTGGAATAGGTCACATGCACAAAGTAGAAATTGGTTTGCTGATCCTCCCTCTGTCCCATCTCTCAATTCATTGAGTGTCACAATCCTGCCAATCTTCTTCCCGCATCGCTGCCGGCAGCCGCGGAGCTTCAATAAACACACATACATACATACACACACACACACGTACCGTAACCTCCATTTTACAGATAAAGGAAAAGGGGGGTTCCTAAGGGTTTCATACAGTCAAAACCAAAATTAATACACATTTTGTGAAACGTGTAATTCTTGCACATTCTAAAGAGTTCTCACAATGGGGCATATCACTTAGGATTATTGGATTTTTAGACTCTGTCTATCGTCCGGTGTTCTAATGAACATTTCAGAATCATGGACAATTGAAGAAGTAAAATAACCGAATAATCTCGAGTGTGTGAAGTTTAAAATGTGACTGCAACTATTTGCAATAAATCATTTCAAATAAATAATTCCACGCAGTATAGTATTTTCTGAAAAGCTGATAGACTTTCAGCTGGTCACAAAATAGTCGCTATGGAAACAGAATATTCATTTCCGTGTTAATAAGAGCCACAAATTTTAAATAAATTAAATCAATTTAAATTTCAATTAAGGTAAAATATAAACGTGTGACTGTAACCTTCCTTGAACTATTTCAATCTATGTAAGATTTGTGCCCGCCATTTAACCTTGCCTTTCTCTACCCCGACACAATATCATATACAAACCCCTGCTTCTGTTCCCAGCTCCTCCCCCCTTCCCACTCCACTGATTTCCCATATAGACTTGCCCCCCCCCCTTCACTGCTCTCACATAGCTGTGTTTATTTCCAACACCAGTCTGCTTGTAACGGTTCTCACGGTCTCTTCGCTTGCGGATTTTCTTATTTTCCCTTCTACCCTGAAGATGGAGCGATACGTTCCTCCGAAACGTCGGTTAACACCACATCTACGCGGTGCCACATCCCAGAAGACTGCTTTCTTCATAATTCAATTTAGTTCACATAATTGGAATTTATTTTTCTTAAATCAGTTTTAATATTATTCTCTTATTCACATATTCTTGCAGATTTTAACAGTTTCAGTTCGAGTCCTCTTCCTCCTCCTTGGCATTACAGCCCTGGGTGGGCCTTGGTCTTCACCAAGAGAATCGTCCATTCGTCTCTTCTAGCAGCTGTTACCTTCCATCCCTTACATCCTTCCTTTGCAGTTTTCTCTTCAATTTGCTCCTCCCATCTCAATTTGGGTCTTTCTCTGGGTCGTCTGCCTCCTTGTTCCAGCATCAGCACTTTCTTTGCAGGGCCATTTTCACGCATAGGCATCACGTGGCCGGCCCATCGCGGCCTGTCATCATGATACGACTGATAAAGTTCTCTCCCCGAAAATACGACGGTCCGTAAATTTTACGCAACATTTTCATTTCGAAGCACCCTAATTGCATTTCATCCTGTTTAGTAAGGACCCAAGCCTCTGTCAGTTGGAGTCTTAGTGGCTATTATCACTGCTTTATATTCAGAAGAGTCGTGGTTCGCTGATGACGTCTCCGTACTCGTAGTTCGGTTCGGTTCAATGAGACAAACCGTGAGAGAGTCTATTAATAAAAGTCACGACCACAGCCTTCCGAATGAACAAGTCTTGAAGATTCGTTAAACCGTCTTCAAGAGTAGATTCTAAAGGCTTCTGAAGATGGTGGATGACACACATAATTACTGGGGTTCTGGACTTTTTCCATCGTCCGGCATTTCTAGGTAACAGAGGACGTTTCGGAAACTGGATCTGTTTCCGTCTTCAGGTGAGAAAAGAAGACACCTACTCAGTTGGGCCCCTTAGAAGGAGCTAATCTCAGTCACTGGATGTGATTGTCCTCTATTACCTAAAAATTCCGGACGATGGAAAAAGTCCAAAACACCAGTAATTCTGTGAGTCTTCAAGAGCATAAGTGCCATGCCAGATTATAAAAACAGAGGCATAAGAGGTATACAGGCCTACCAAGTGAAGGGCAGTGTGTTCCTGTATAAGATATCATTAAAAAAAAGGCATTATGTATTCGAACTCTCTACACACATCTAGCTGTTCCACATATACGTGTAATTTGCAGACACATCTTTATAATCTCCTTCGTCTTACTGGATCCCACAGTTTAATGGTAGATCTGTCCCACTCACTCATGGAGCTGAGCTCTTCTTGAGAAGCCGCCAATTTTGCAGCTACTCAAGAATATCTCAGCATTTAATGGAACCCGAATGTTCATTACCGTGTTCACAAGAGCCCTCCACAGGTCCC